TAAATATTCAAAACTAAGCGGATTGAAACGTGCACAGTAAAGACATTAAATGATTAAATCTTTTCACTACCAACCAATGCACCACGAGTGCCCCTGTCGGTCATTTTGGCCAGCCAATCACTTACCGCGGTGCCCTCCGGTGCCCTGCGGGTAGGTTACTGTACCGCGGGTTTTTACCGCTCATTTTGAATGGCTGCATCTGTAATTGCACCTAAGAAGCCTTTTCAGGCCCATCATCCCTTGTGAAGTAACTAGTAATCAGTAATCATGGGAATCTAGAAGGGCCACTGGTATTGAGCAACCAGTGAGCAACATCTGGTATTGTTGTTCTGTTGCTCATGAAGCATAAGAGCAATAGATTTTTAGGTCCTACAAATATTTCAGCTCTTCTGAAGGCAAGATCGCTTCCTTTTTTGCTCCTTTAATTTGGTAAATCCCACATTAACAGTCCTCCACAAATAAATAAATAAAAGAGACCCTTTTTATGCTGCCTCAGAAAACCCACATTTTAAACACTCAGTCACACCCACACCCACAAGAACTGGATTACAAAGGCTCGTACTGTCATGTCAATTTTACTATTGTGAAAACTGAAAGTTCTCTGTCCAGAAAAACAACTACTGAAGTCTGCAAAAGCAGCAGAAAAAGAGATTATGCACTTCGCTCCGTCTCTGTTCAGAGATATGCCAGAAAGCCTGAAAATCTGAAAGACCACAGAAACTCAAACTTGAATCTAGAAAACCTGAAACCTGATCTGTCTGAAACCAACATCAAGCACCGACCCAGTGATATCTGCCCACAACTCCAATTTTCTGAAGATTCACAATTTGCTTTCTCTGTCCGCTATATCTGTTTCACCCCATTCCTGCTTGACTCCTCGACCTCAGCTCTCACTGAAATCTAATCTCCTAGATGTGGTCTGTTGTAAATCACACCCAAATTCTTCATCCAAACACCACTGACTCAAAGAGTTACATTTACAGAGCTAATTCATAGGACATAGTAACAACCTGTTTTAACAAGCAAATCCCCAAGCCCTTTGGCCGTTTGTGATATTCCATTTACAGTCATATGTTGGAGTCAGGTCAGTAGCACAGACAAAAATGTAAACACACCCTTTTTATTCTCTAAGTCAGATAGCCTGTAAAAAGCTACAAAAACTACCGTAACTCGTGCATAGAGAAAAAAAAACAACTAAATCTAATCCATGATAAAGCAATGGAAAACAAAGAGAGCACAGATAAACAGAAGAATAGCAGCAACTACAGTACTGAATATCAGAAACCAAGAGCTGTAACTGAAAATGATAGAGGTTCAGAGAAGAACCCTAAGATAAAATGAACCATGCATGAATGCAAAAAGTTTTAGTGTTTTAGTTAAACAGCAATATTGTGTTTATGTCTTAAATCACACCTGTAATCAATTTTTAACTGAATCTGAATAAGTCATTTGAAGAAACTGTTATTTTTGCAAACCTCCAAAAATACTCATAGTGGAGCACTTTATTTAAGTGGTGAAAATCATACTTTATATGTGTTTGACAAAGGTGCTAACACTATTTTAGCTATTTATAAATAAAAATGACATGACTGCAGATAATAACCATGCAGCGAGCCATCAGTAAGGGTCAGGGGTTAGTACGTGGATTTGGCACTACAATACTTTTTGCTTCCTGTATTATGGAATATAAAGATCTAAATTACTTTCATCCCACTGTCAATATTCAAGTTACTGATTCTGATTAATTTTTCACCTCTTTCCTAAATGGAGTGATGTTAGATTGTAGAAAGTTTGAAACCTCTAAGAGTATTATAAAATGGTTCTGTTTCAACAAAAATGATGAAACAAAGAATAACAAAATGCATATTGTCTACTGTTTTATTTTATTAAGCTCACCATATGATAAATACAATGAGTTGTGACTTACAGATGACAGGAAGATGCAATCTTCAGCAAAACCCAGGATTACCTGTTTCTTTCATCAATCTGTTTGAAGAAAATAACAAAATTACATAGACGTTACTAATATTTATTTTCCCAAAAGGATTCTGTGAAATGTTTTTAATGAGCAATTTTATCCTCTGTAGAATATCATGT